AATCAAGATTCATTATTACATATTTTTCGTCGTGGTAAATCATCATCATCATCATCATTGAGAAATTTTGATTCAAATCAAAATAACGATCAACAACAACAACAACGACGACGTTATCTGCTACCAAGTTTATCATATCCAATGAATATTAGTCAACAGCAACAATCAAAATCATTGAGTAATAATGATGGAAAAAATTCACAAATAATATTCTATTCATATCGTGATGATTCAATGATGAAATCATTGAAAAATGATAGATTATCATTTGCTAAATCTCGATCATCATCATCAAATTCATTGCCAATAATAGCCGAACAATTTTCGATTGTCGATGTAAATAATAATAACAACAACAACAGCAAAATTTATCCATCAAAAAACAATATGGAAGTATTTACAATTCATACGGATGATTTTTTATTGAAAAATTATAATAATAATTTATCATCACCATCATCGTCGACAACATCAATGCAATCAGCTAGTCAAATTAATGAAAAACGTATTCGACCAACAACAACAATATCACCATTATTCGATAATAATCAATATGAATCATCATCATCATCATCACGTTATGATCATTATGGACGTCCATTACGTTCGAAAAAAACATCAACACCAATATTTCAACGAAATTTGTTCACAAATGTTGGAAATCTAAATAAATCATTGCCAATAATAGTGATTGGTAATGGTGATTCATTGTTGACATCAAGTTCAAATCCATTACCATTATCATCATCAACAACTACGATTAAATCATTAATGGTGGGAAAAAATTATTCAATGATAAAAGAATCAATAAATTATGTGCTACCACCATCATCATCATTATCAAATGATAATAATCAAAAACATTCACAACAACAATGTGATCCTAAACTTAATTGTCGATTACCGAAATGTTTTTGTCCTGATGTTAAACCACCGTGTAAGTTTTTGTTGTTTGTTTTTCTTCTGATAAACTTTATTGACAGAATTTTTAATATATGTTTACAGTTGGTTTAAAACGTAAAGAAATACCACAAATGATTTTATTAACATTTGATGATGCTGTTAATGATGTAAATTTTCCATTATATCAAGAAATATTTGATCCACAAACAAAACGTACAAATCCAAATGGTTGCCCGATAAAAGGATCATTTTTTGTTTCACATGAATGGACTGATTATGGTAAAGTACAAACATTATTTGCACATGGACATGAAATTGCATCACATTCGATAACGTAAGTTTTTCGTAAGAATTGAATTTTGATTTCAAAAAAAAAAATAATAATAATAATCAAATTTCATTATCAGACATGGATATGGTGAAAAATTTTCAACAAAACAATGGTACAGAGAAATTGCTGGTCAACGTGAAATATTACATCGTTTTGCAGGGATACCACGCAATGAAATTCGTGGTATGCGTGCACCATTTTTACAATTAGGTGGTGATGAACAATTTCAAATGTTAATGGATGCTAATATGACTTATGATTCATCAATATCAATATTTGATAATTCACCACCATATTGGCCATATACATTAGATTTTGGTATACAACATGATTGTATGATAACACCATGTCCAACACGTTCATATCCTGGTAAGTGTAAATTGAAAATGGAAACAACATTCAAAATCTTATTGATTATTATCTATAGGTCTTTGGGAAATTGGATTAATCATGTGGCATGATTTGATGGGTGGTGGTGGACGTTGTACAATGGTAAATAGCTGTACATCACCATCGGATGAAAAAGGTGTTTTCGATTTAATAATGACAAATTTTCGTCGACATTATGATACAAATCGTGCACCATTCGGTTTATTCTATCAAAGTAATTGGTTTACAACTGGTCATCATAAAGCCGGTTTTTTACGTTTTATTGATGAAGTATTAAAAATGGGTGATGTTTATTTTGTTACAAATTGGCAATTATTACAATGGATACAGAATCCAATTAAATTAGATCGTTTAGATCAATTTGAACCATGGCAATGTCAATCAACAAAACAAAATGATATAAAACAAGTATCGGAATGTCTTATACCAAATATATGTCATGTACGATTTCAAAATGGTGAAAAAATTGGTTCAAGATTTTTTAAAACATGTCAAAAATGTCCCGATGATTATCCTTGGATCGATAATGTTGATCAATTGATGGAATCATCACCTGCATAATCAATATTTATTTTTTGTTTTATTTTTTTGCATATGTAAATTTGTATTTAAGACATTTGCCATTTTTTTCCTTCGAAAATCCATTATTTATATTGATAATTTTAATAAAATTTGCATCAATTTGAATTTCGCGCAATTGCAAAAATTTTAAAAATAAATATTTTCGAAAAAAATCCATCAGATGGCAAGACTTTTTCCATTTGTTTTCGAAAAATTATATAGCCAAAAAAATAATGTTTTTCACATTGACATTTTTAGCCAGTTCGATTTATTTTGATTATGATGTTTGTTTATGTTTTTTTTTGTATTTTGTTAATGATCATCATTATTAGCAAATTAAACAACAACAACAACAATGTAGATGGACATTAAATGATATAAATGGTCCAGAGTGTTTGTTTGCTTGTTTGTTTTGGGCACAAACAAATTCTATTTGTTGTTGACGTAATATTCTTTGTATTTGTTTCTAATGAATCCAGAAAACTCTAGAATTTGATAATGAAATAAAATTAAAACAAAAATAAATGAACTGAATCGATACGCACAGGTAATTTACAAGCATAGAAAAAACAGATAACAAAATTTAATTTCTTCGTTTGTTAATTTCGCAATTAGATTTTTAATTGAAATGGAATGAATTTTTGGCTTAAATTCAACCGTAGAAAAAGAAGAAACTTTTAATCTTTCATCATGATCACTTGATAAGATTATGATTTTTTTCGGGTTTTTCCAGTTATCATCATCATCATTATTGAGTCATATGCTCCACATATCATCCAGTCAGTTTGTGTCGTTTGAATCTAAGATAATTCTGTCAAGATTAAATTGTAATGTTTTCATCGTTGGCCATCATCAAACAACAACCAAATAATCATTTCTGCACATGCACACACATCGAAAACATTCAAAACGAAAAAACATTGCCTCAAAAAACTGAATTTACATTTTGGTTATTTTCGTTTCTGACATTCAATTCTTTACATTGAATTTTGGCAAACGGCTAAAAGGAATTTTTTTCTTTTTTGTTTTTGTTTAGCATCTGTAAACATCATCATCGAACAACAACAACAGTTTTTTACCACTATATTCTTTTTATGAATGTTAAATTTTTTTTCAAAAAGCTATCAAATAACAAGCGACATTGAAATTCAAAACAAACCCAAAAGTAAAAGTGGAAAGAATTGGAGAATATAGCGCACATTGAGAGAATGTATTGAATAAAACGTGATAATTTTCAATGACGATGACAATACAAGTGTTTTTTTCAAATTAATTCAACAACAACAAAATAGGAAAATTTCTATCAAGATTAAAATACAAGAATTTAATTCTCATTCACATTCGGTTTTTTTTTGATGAACGGGGGGCGATGTTCTATAGATTTAAACAAACTTTTCATTTATTTATTTTTTTTTGGCAATGGTATTATCTTTTTGATGACTTTTGTTTTTTGTTTTTGTTGTTTTGTTTTCGTTAATAATAATTATTTTTCAATGTTTTTCATCACTTTAATACAGCCAAAGTTCAACTGACACTGAATAGTTTTTTTGTTTGTTTCTGTGTTTGCCAACTCATCATTGTTGAATTTGAATTTTTTGTATTTCGTTTTTATCCAAAATATTAATCTTTGAAAAAAAATCATGTCTCATTTTGATCGAACATATGATTCAAGTCCATCAGAATCATCGGATACATTACCAAGTCCTACTGATGAACAACAACAACAACAACAACAAACAATGGAACCATCAACATTATTAACAAAAAATATATCATTAATCGATATAATTAAATATCATAAATGTTCAATACATCATCAAGATGCTGAAGCATCAATTGCTGATGCAACTGATTGTTTGCGTATGATTACCGGTAAAATGGAATGGTTTCAACGAAAACATAAATTTTGTCCACATTTATTTTCGGATGAAGATCAACAACAAATTCAATCATTACATCAACGACTGATAATTGAAGAGATACCATTTTTAGAATTACAAGAACGTTTTCGTAATGGTCTTGATGTTGATATACCACATGAATTACAAGGTCGTATTGCATTAGTTTGTCAAAAATTTAATGAATTAAAACAACGTTTCGATAAACTTTTATCAAATGTTGATCATTTATCATCGATACCAATCATTGAAGCTACTAATAGTTCACCATCTTCGATGATCAATACTAATTCTATTATTGAAGTTTGATATATTTTATTTTATTTTTATCGTTATAAAAAAAAGAGAAAGATTATTCTTCTATACATTATTGTTATTATTATTGATTTGATTATAAAGATGTTTATCAAGAAAAAAAAACTTTACAATATATAACTTATGCCAATCAATTACAATACTACTATTTTTGAATTACGAATTTTAAAAGGATCTGAAGATTTTAAAAAGAAATAAATTACGATTATTTTTATCAATCTTTTTTGTTGTTTTTAACTTTGAATATTAATATTACGCCATTTTGAATAGATTCGATTACCATGACGATAAATCTGTAATGATTCAGTGCTGTTTGTCGACAATTTTGGTTTTGATGGTCGATGATGTTGAATAGGAAACGAATGAGAAATACTGGATGATGATGGTATTTTTGGATTTTGCACACCATTTGTACTATGTAATTCTGGATTAAAACGTGGCCCATTACCACTAACATCAACATTGGTTATAATATAAAGTTCAAATGATAAAATTAATGATAAATGAATAAAAATGAAAAAAATTGCAAACAAAATAGTTTGTAAATGATTATTATCAAATAGCATGATGTTTTTTGGCAGAATAAAAAAAAATGAAAATTTATTTTTAAAATTTTTAAAAAATTAAAAAAAACCACAAGAATTGATTGTTTGTAATTTTGAGACAAAAAAAATTTTGCTGCTATTTATATATAAGGATTTTACAAGCAGATTATCTAATCTAACCTTAAAAAACTGACCTAAAGTTGTGTTGTTGATTAGCTTCTTCTACTTTATGACACTATTATCGATAATCATCGTCATATAATCTAATCGCTGATTTTCCTTTATGCCATTCGATTGGAACGTTTTCGTTTTTTCGTTTTTGGTATTGGTGTTGTTGTCGGTTCTACATCACGAACAATTTTTTTGGATTTTTTCTTCTTCATTTTCTTTTTTGCACTGAGCTTTTGTTGTTGTTGTTTTTCATTTTTTGATTCCATTTTCTTTTCATTGGCTAATGGTTCTGGATCTTCTTTTTCCAATTGATCGATTTCATTAGCCCGTTTTTCTTTCATCATCATTAATGGTTCGGATTCTTTTTCCAATGAATCTTTTGTCATTGCATCACCCATATTGGTTTCATTTGATAATGGAAAATGTTGTATTGAACCTTGATATTTCCAAAATGGTGAATACCATTTTGATTTATAAATATAATCAGTTGTATTTGTTCCGTTTTGTGAACGAATACGCCAAAAATATGATGCTGGTTTCCATGTATTGTAATATGATCGATATGGTAAGGATGTATAAACCAACGGGCTATATACAGGAATTGATTTTATCTGATACAAATAGCTTAATGATGATGGTTGTGTTATAATCGTTGTTGTTGGTGGTGATGGTGGTGGACAATATGTTGGATATATTCGAAGACCAGTAGAATAATAATAAGGACTAATCGGTCGTTGATATGATAATGATGGAATAAATGTTGCATGAATAGATAAAACAAAGGAATAAACAATAATGATGATGATAAACAATAAATTATTTGGCAACATCATTTTTCTCTTCGAAATCTTTAAAAAAAACTTCGTGTTTGTTAGCAATGGTAACAATAAAATGATTTTGTTTCGTTAAATATTATTTTTTTCGAAATCATTATTCTAATGAAAATTGGATTATCATTGAGAAAACATACATCTTGATTTCTTTTCTCTCTATGTATATTTCATTCGAACAGGTTTTTTTTCTTGTTTCAAGAAACACAATCGACTGTCCTTCAAACAAATCTTTTTTTTGTTTGTTTGTTGTTGGATGTTTCAGAAATGACCAATGGTCGAATATTAATGAATGACAGCAGCGGCCACTTGACAACAAAAATTCATTTAGCGTTTTGTTTTTTTTTTGCTTCTCATAATTATCATAATTGAAATAGCTCGTTAGAAATTCCAAAAAGCAAAAAACAAATTTGTAAAAATAGAGAAAAATTTATCTTAAATTCAGAAATGAAATCAATACACAATTCGACCGTCAATTATTCCATACAACAACGTAAAAGGTAGATGGATCAACGATGAATAATTTACATGGATATAGTTAAGAATTCTATTCTTTTTTGATAACCATTTTGGTTCCCATCAAGCTATTAGAATCATTAGACATTTGTTTCGAAAGATAAAATGAATGTAATGCAGGTAATGGATGTAGCATTGGTTGATAAATTTTCGGACCTAATTTTTGTGCAAGATAATCATTAATACGATCGGTTAGTAATGGTCCAGCATATTTTTGACTAAAACCAATACGATTTAACATTGTTAATGTTGAATTTTGTTTACGAAATTTTTCATTACGTAATTTTTTTTCATTTTCAATTTTATTGTTGGATGTTGTTGTCGTCGTCGTCGTCAATAGGGTATCATTATTATCATTATCATGGCCATTATTATCAACAATCAATGGACACCAAACAATATTCAATGCATCAACAATACAAGGTTCTTTTGGTTTTTTCTCCAAAACTTCACCATCATTATCTTTTTGTTGTTTCAATAATTTTTCAACATTTTCATCACCATTTTTATTGTTTAAAATATCGGATATTGTATCGATATCATCATCGCTAATTGCTTCAAGATCATTATCGTCTTTATAAATGAAAATAATAATTAAAAATCTTATAATTTGTAGAGAAAATTTTTCTTTCTTGACTTACTTTTGATCAATGATTTATCGTTGGAATCAATTTTTGTTTCCAATTGTTGTTGTTGTTTTGGTTGCGGATCGTTTTTAATAAGTAGATCATCTTCACTTTCACTCCAATCACTATAATTTGATGCAATTTCAGCATCTTGTTTTTCATCATCACCATCATCATCATTGGCGTTATTTCGACTAATTTGATCATTACATTCACCTTCTTCAAATTTATCATTATCATCATCATTGATTGGTGATTTTTTTGGATCGGAATGAATTTTCAATGTTTTTTGTAAACCAATTTTGTCATCATCATCATCATCATCATCGACAATTTCACCTTCATCAAGACTTTGATTATCGTCATTATCATCTTTTTTATTTTCGTCTGGTTTCGATAGATCATCATCTTGGTTCGTAGAATATATCCATCGATCCTGTTTAGCACGTTTATTCATCGTTGTTTGTTCAACATTTTCGCTCATTTCATTCGCTTTTCGTTTTATTGATTGATCGGATAAATCATCCGATGATATTCTATCAATTTTCATTTGATCACCATCATTATCATTTTCTTTCACCGATTGATCGTCGTTTTCCATTGCTGTTTATCTCAAATTTTCAAAATTAAATTGCTCAAAATGATGATGATGAAGATGATTATAACAACATCAAAAAGACCATTCTTTTTTTTGCACACGCCGTTAAAAAACATTGCGTAACGTCATTTAAGGACGGTAAAAAAATTTTGAAATTTTTTTTTTTTAAATTTTAACCCTGATTGATCAAAAACAAAAAAAAACTGGCTGCCTATTCCATTTAAAACCAAAGAGATTTTTTTTGTGAATCCAATTCAACAAACAAAAACGAAACAAACAAAAACGAAAAAAATGGTTTGGTTTAAAGTCAACATTCTACAACCATCGTCGTCGTCGTCGATGATTTCATCCAATTCAAAACTGTATTTATTTCGTGATCATTTTGAATTATTAACAAACGATGACCATCAATCATCAATTGTTTATGGTCAATGTAAATGGATGGAAATTGCCGGTATTCAAGTGGATACCGATCGTACAATAATTACTGTCAATAATCAATCCGGTACTGATGATCATCATCAATATCGATTTCAATTTTCGGCTGAATTTGAAATGAGACAATTTTTAGATTTTGTTTGCCTAATTCATCAACAAATGATTTGTCATTATCATTCAAATAAACCGAATATATTAAGATATGCAATCGCGTGTGCCAAATAATTAAAAAAAATTGAAATATTTTATTTAAAATTAGATTTTTTTAAAATTTACAGTATAATTATCATTTTTAAAATGATTCATTTTTTCAATTGTAATTGAATTACGATCACCAAATACAGTAATAAAAACATTCAATATTGCAATCAATGTTACTATACAAATTGTTATATGATTTATAATTTCTACTTTATCTTTATCATCAACCGATATTTTTTGATTTGTTTCAAATGGTACCGATATTGATGTTGTTGCTGATTGTTGTTGTTGTGGTTGTTGTTCATTCGAATTCAATGTTTCCATTTTATTATCATTATTTTTGTTGTTGTTGTTGTTATTGTTGGCTTTAAATGATCTTTGATATGTTGTTTTTGGTTTATTATTTTTAAATCCAACAATAAACATAAGAAATACTACTATCAACTGGAAATGGAAAGAAAATCAAGGTTTCAACAAAAAGGGTTAAAATAATTTTTTAAAAAAAATTTACCTGTAAAATTAATGATGCACAAAGCATAATAATTAATAATACATAATATTTAACATGTTCGGAACCGGTATCTAATAAAAATTTTAAATGTTCAACATCAGCAACAAACAAAGCAAAATCTAAAAAACCACCAGCAATTGTTAAATGTTGTGCATTACGAATACCAATACTATTTGATTCGATTGTAATCATATCATGATTACCATTATGACCATCATGTTGATCCAAAACACCATTAAACATTGATGATAAACTTAATGCACGACTTCTTGCCATTTTTCTATCTGATTCTTGAAGTAAAAGAAAAACGAAAAAACCAATCGATCGCTGCCCAAAAAACAAAATGATCGATTTGTTTTCTCCTCAATAATAATAATACGATGTAAATCTTAGGATTTTTATCAGAATTTAAAATTTCTGTCATCACCATAGAAACTTTTAACTGAAACTAAATTTATCAATAATATTTATTGATTTGATTTGATTATTGTGATTTATCAATTTCAATATTGCATCATTGTTTTCAATTAATCAATCAATCAATCAATTGATTTTATCCATTTCATTGTTGTTCTAATTATTATTAATGATGTCGTTTAACTTACTTACTTATTGTTTTTTTCCATTATTATCAGATGATATGGTTAAAGAGAATGGCTATTTATGGCAATCAAATGATAATGATTAAGCAATCATTTTCATAATTAGTCACTGATAATGAAAATGGTACGCACAATTAGATTTCGGCTTTACTTTTTTCCTAAAGATATCCATGATAATATCGGTGAAAAAAAATTGGTCATTTCCTTTTGGAAAATTTGAAAACTTGAAATAAATAAATAGGAAATATTGATTGTTTCCTTGCAATCAGAGAAAAAAATGAATGAATTTTTTTTCAAATATTTGAAAGGAAAACATCGTTATCTAATTAGTCAAAAACGTATTACGTTTACGTTCATACAGGTGTTTTGTGTTTGATTGATATGGCCATGGACAAAAATGAAATCCTACAAAGTGAAATGAAAATTGTAAAGTTTTGTTTTTTCAATTGGAGAAAAAAATATTTATTCATTCAGTCATATTTAGATTGGTTTTGAGTTTGGTTTTCGTCGAGGTGATTTATTATCAGCAATGTTTGTCAACAATCATCATCGTGTGATAATATTATCGTTTGCTGTGGTTATATTTTTGATTCTATCGTATCAATCAGTCAATGGAAGACGTAATGGTGCACCAATTGAATCCTGCACAAGCTTAAAACCAAATCATGGACAAAATATTCAATCACAACCAAAATCAACAAATCCATTTTTATTCAATATAACACTGTACCCGTATATGAATGATGAAGAATTTGTTCATATTGAAATTTATACACCCGATGATAATCATCGTACAGTATTTCGTGGTTTTATTGTTCAAGCACGTATGGCTAATGATCAGACAGTGATTGCCGATGGTCAATTTGTACCGATGGATTCCAATCAAACACGTTCATTTTCATGTAATAATATGGAAGGAAATGTAAGTAATGTTTTTTTTTGCTTGTGGTTTATTGATTGATTGATTGAATTGATTTTTCTCAAATTAACCTGTTGAAAGAATACCTGGACACATTCAAATAACAGCCCGAAACAACGTGTATCAGCATTTTGGTTTCCAACCGAATCAACAATGAATAATGAAATTATATTTCTTGCAACCGTTGCTATTGATGCTAAACATTATTGGTTGGAAATGGAATCGGTAAAAATTCCATTAGGTGTTACTATCAATGGTGGTGGCGGTGGTGAAGAAGAACAAGGTGAAGGTGGAGAAGGAGAAGTTGAAGGTGGTGGTGGTGAAAATCCATCAAACGAACAAGAAGAATCGGATGAAGAAAATTCAGCTGAACAACAACAACAAGAACCATCAAACAATGTTGAAAGTATTGTTTCATCATCAACATTTACAATTAATTACAATTCATCAACAACATCCAATTTAATTTTAATTATTTTATTATTATTTTATTGTGAATTTATTTTCTAAAATTATTATTACAATAATTTTAATATATGTAGAGTCTATAATGGAATCTTTTCCAAAATTAGCTAGATAAAGAAAGATAAAGAAACAAAAATTTGATATTATTATTTTTTTCAAATAAATATAATATGATTTGATGTAATTATACATACTTCTTTTAATTTACCCAAATAATCTTCACCACGTATTTTGGATGGAATTCTAATATTTTCTCTTTTCAATGTTAATTCTAATTCCATTTCATTGAATATTGAAATTGGATCAATACGATTACGATAGATTAAATTTCCAAGATATTCTTTATAATGTAATCTAATGGATCGATGAAATTAATCATCAGAATTGTAATGTGAATAAATTTCAAATCAAACTTACTTGCAAAGACCGGCTACATCAACAAAACGATTACATGGTTTATCTTTCATTGCAAAATTCACCTCCTTTTGTTCCATTACTTGACATCTTGATAATGTTGTTATCGACGTAGTCGTCGCCGTTGTCGTTTTTTTATTCTGATCATTAACATCATCATCGGTTTTATATTCGATATGATTTTCCTATTGATAAAATTACATTCAAATCAAATTAATTGGAAATGATTGATTTCATACATACATCCAATAATTTCCTTAGATCGCTAATATCTTTATCACGAAGATAGAATAGACAATTTCTTGGATGATGTGCATGAAGACCAAGTCGTTCACATACTTTAGCACGAAAACATCTCTTAATAATGAATATTCAATCAATTTTTTATTTTTGTTTCAAATAACACAATCATCATCACTTACACTACCCAATTTAAATGGACGATAACAACCACCACAAAAATCAAATGAACATTGTGTACAACGAAAATGCATACAACCACCTTTCGCTAATTGATAACGAAAATGACAATTTGGACATTCTAAACAAAAATTTCAATGTAAAATTAATCATAATAAACAAAAAAGAGACAAACCGATTCCAAATTCTTCCAAATGTTTATTCAATAATTGTTCAGCATAATCAAGACTATGATCTTTTTCCCATAGAGCAAATTGTTCACAAGATTGATTTAAATGTTGTTGTTTCCATTGTTTTTTACATGATCGACAAAATGTATGACGACAATCCGGACAAATTACTGTCAATGCTTTTGGATTTGGTACAATAAAACCGGATGAACACTTGATTGAGAAAAAGGAAAAACATTAAAGTTCAAGTTTCTTTAAATTCTTTCTTTGATCTATCCAATTTACCTTTATACACCAAAGAAAATTTGGATCTCTCATTAATGCACGATCACGCATTTTTCTTTGAAATAATTCATAAACATCCCTATCGATTATATGACGAATGAATGGATCAAATATAGCTAAATATTCAAAAACTTTTTCATCCTGTTCAGCACCAATATCCGGTTCATTACAAAATGGACATTGTATAACTAAACGTTGTTGTTCACGTATCTGTATTTGTAGATAATTTTTCATACAATTATGACATGCATAATGTTGACATGTAATCATAACAATAATATCATCAATCGATACTATTCTTGTACATAATTCACATTCTAATTCGGTTCTTGCCCATTGAAATTCATATGAATATTGTTGTTGTTGTTCAACTGGCGATGATAATGGTGAATTGGATTTCTCGACAATCGATAATGATGAGGATTCTGGTTCCGCTGATTCAAGCTGGACATGATAAACAATGAAAATCAAAATCAATGAAAAAAATAATAATCAAAATTTTTATTTTGGGAAAAAAATTCTTTCAAAAATCAATATTTTTTTCAAATAAAATTCAATGATTCTAATGATTTTTGTCGCAAGGTTTTAATAAGAAATTTTTTTGCCATTTCTTTTCGTTCATTTATCATTTGGATTTGTTGTTGCTGCTGTAGGGTTAATCTTAATTTAATACGTTTTGATTTAATGATTGATTGTTTTGTCAATTTTTCATCATCATCCTTATCATAATTTATTAATCCAGTTTGTGTTAAATTTTTCAATGATGCACGTTGTAATTTATCAAAACCACGACGTTTACTATAAACAGGTTGTTGTAATTGTAAACAATTATCTTCCATTGATGATGATAATTCCATTAAGCTTATTGATTTCATCATTGATAATCTATTTTTGTTTTGTTTTTTCGATACATCCTATCCGAACAGCAACAACAACAATCAAACAAAAAAAATTAACAAAAATACAATTACCTTGTTTACTGGTGAAGATTTTATCAATTTCGGTGTTTCAGCTGGCTGAATTAAAATCGGATTTCCTGTTGTCTGTGGTTGACGGACATCAGTGTTGATGCTGGAAATTGTCTGTAAATTCAATGGATTTCGATAAATTTTTTCCATAATTTTTTTCGTCGATAATAAACATATAGGATTTCCTATCGAAAATTTTCCGGCAACATTTTTCACCGGTTGTGTTGTTGCCATAAATTTATAAATCTGATCAATAACGATTTGTGCTTTTATTTGTTTGTTTTGTTGTTGTTGTTGTTTTGATGATAAAAATAACGGTGATGATGATTCAATCTCAGCAACAGCATCGGTAAAATTGTCATCCGATTCAGCTGAAATCGAGATGGGTGATAATTCTTCTTCAGCATCAACAACAGTTTGTTGAATAGGTGTAATATTCTCATCATTTGATGATGAAATTGCTGCTGTTGCTGCTGCTGTATGCTTTGCAACTAATTCATTTAATTTTGTTTCGATTCGTTGTTTTCTATTTTTCGATTGTTGTTGTTGTCGATTGATATCTTGTTCCGTAAATATTGGTGTATGATCTGACGAATCAATCATCAATTCTGAAGATGATAATGATGGTCGATTCTGAAAAACACGTGCAACTTCACGATCCAATTCTTCTTCAGTGGTTGTACCATCGGATAAATAACCACTACCACCGCCACCATTATCAATTCTTTTTTGAATATCGATTAATTTTTGCATTTTTTGTCGTTCTTTTTCACGAATCCTGGATTGTTCACGTTCCTGATCGTTGATCATTTTTTCTTTTTGCCAATTCATTATTAATGTTTCTAATTGATTAAAATCTGGTAGATTTTTTGAATCACGAATATTTTCCAGATAAAATTCCAATAATTTATCTTTATCCATCAGACCATCAGGCGATTGAAGAAATTCTTCCATCGGTAATTTTGAATGTTTTGAAAGATTAAATTCTTTTGCATTGTTTGATTCTTGAAATTCCAAATTATCATTTGCATTTATCAAATGGTTAGCATCATTATTTGCACGACCAGATCCTACACCGGTTACTTTCATAGCAAAAAATTCACTTTTTGTTGGTAAATTTTTATTAACATTTGAATCAAACAATTTATTCTCCTGATAACGTTGAACACATTTTTCAATTGATTGTAATAGATTTCCTTTGCATAAACGTAATGCAATTTTAGCATCTTTTTCGGTTATCATTGAAAAATTTTCAATCTTTGAATTTCCATTTGTTGATTCAAATTCTACAATCTGATTATTCGATATTGTTCGTACAATTTCACAAAGATTTTTCCAATTTTTTTCCAACCATTCTAACGGGGAAACAGGATCAAATTGTATGGCTACTTCAAGATCATCTGATGAGTAGCCTTTTTTCTCTGCATCACGAATAATTTGTATCATTTGTTTACCTGAATTTATCAATGATTTTTGTTGTTGCTGTTGATTTGGTACAAAATTCGGATAGAATAATGATGAATTACTACTATTGCTGATAATCGATTGAATATCATCTTGAAAATTTAAATTTTGTTGATAATAAGGTGAATCCATCATCATCGATTGATTCAAACCAAATATATTATTGGCCATTGAATTATTACTACTACTTAATGATGATGATGGTCTATGTGAATGATAATTGATTTGATTCAATGGTAATGGTGTTGAACAATTTGACCATGAATAATTTGATTTTATTGGATAAAATTGTTGCTGATTCATTGATTGAATTGTAGGATTTGTTGGTGAAATTATTGGATCTTTATTGATTGGTGAAACGTTTGATTGATCATTATCGACAGATCTGGAAGTTAAGGATGATGATTGTGGTGATAATTTTAATTTTTCAAATTGCTGGGAAATTTTTTCCTCTATTATTTTGGCAACAATTTTTTCATCATCATGATCTAATCCTTTATTGCCATTATCAGTTGATTTTTGATCAATTTTTTTGCTGATTGAATCATCATCAATTGGTTTTTCAATGATACCAGATGATGAATCAATTTGATGACTTGATTCAAATTTTTTATTTGTTTCCATTAAATTTAATTCATTTTCTTTTTGTTGTTGTAATTTTTTTTCAATTTCAATTTGTTCTTGAACGAAATTTTCATCAAAAATAATTTCCTGTTCGTTTTGTATCGGCTGTTCATCAGTTTTAATGGATAAATTTTCATTTTTCGGAATTGGATTTGAATTTGTAGATTTAATTTGTTCAACAGGCGATAATCGTGTTTTACAACAAATATCACAAACATTGCGATCAGAATTGTTAATAAATGTACAGAAATGACATGACCATCCACCAATCATTGATTGTACATGTTCGGAATCAACTTTGTTTTTCGACAAATTCTTAACGAAAACAACGGAATCAATAATTTTATTTCGTGATTGCATTGAACTTGAACTTGAATCGGAAACCGTATCCGAATATGAACGATTTGGATCTATTGATAAACTTTTCGATGATTTTATCGATACAGTTGCTGGTGATGGTGAATGTGTCATCATTATTGATTTTTCTCTACGAATCGGACGATTATCTGGAACTAATATTTCATCATTAACAAAATGTTTACGATTAACACTACCATTATACATAGTAGTTGTGGATTGTGATCGTTTCATTCGTGCACGTCGTAAACGATTTTTAGCATCACGACTTAATGATGATAATCGATAATCATTCACCATCATCATTGGCATTTGATCATCTTCATCATCGGTTTCAAAATCATCATCATCATCATCATTACCACCATAATAATGTTCATGTGAATTTCTTCTTCGTAATTCTTCCAATGAATTTGTTGTTGACCATTGATCTGAACAACCAAAACAACTGCATTGATCATTGAATATTTGTTGTTGTGGTTGTTGATGTGGACAACGATGATGATGATAATGAGAACAGCGATTACATTGTATGCCTGATGTCGAGCAACACTGGTTTGGTTGATGATGATTGTGATGATGATGAGGATTAATCATTGCACAATCAGTAGTCATCATCGGATACATTGATTGTGTTGAACCATGATGTTGTGGTGGATGTGAATGATAATATCCAGATGAAAATGGAATATCCAAATCAATTTCTTGTTGTTCTTCAACATGATTGAATCGATTTAAATCTTGTTGAGAAAAATTTTTCCTTGGTAAACTTGATAATTTTACCTGTTGTTGTTGTTTTTGTTGTTGATCACAATTTGATCTAGGTAAATCGATTGTACTTGTTGCAAATTGCCGTGTTTTTAACATTCGTATATTTGTCGCTGCTGGTTGTTGTTGTTGTTGTTGCTGCAATGAATATTTACGTGTTTGATTTGATAACGGATTTGATTGTGTATTGGTTATTTTGCCATTTGGTTGCTGATAATTTGATTGTTTAATTATCGATTGATTAATAGAAACGGGATGAAATTGTTGTTGTGTTTGCTGTTTCGATGTTTCAGGTGAATTTACCCATTTTCTTAACGTATCTTTTATACCAGAAATAAAATAATTTTTCTTTTTTAATCTTGGTGGTGGTATGGGCATTTTTGATGGATGACCATTATTGTCATTATTATTTGAGAAATCTTCCCATAAACTATCTGGATTTCTTGGCAATGTTCTTGTTATACGCCATGGATATAATGAATTTGTTTCCTGTTTTTTTACTGTTGTTGTTCGACCAATATTATTACTTGATGATTCTGGCGTTCTTTGACATTGTTGAGATGTTTCCTTGAATTGTATCTGAAAAAAGGAAAGAAAATTTACGGAAATTGAAAAAAATCAACCATTTCAACACCCAGTCACATACATATTCTAATGCAACAGCTTGCCTAAGATGTTGTCGTCGTTTTGGATGTCGATGATACATATCATCACAACCAATACAAAATGCCATTGAATTACATTTCATACATCGAACTGATGCACCCATACAACCACATAGACTACAATTGACCATTGGATATTGTATTGAATTTGTATTAATAATTTTTGTTGACATTTTTGCTGTTGTTGTTGATATGATAAATCTTTACGGAAATCTTTTAGATTTCAAACATTGAGATCACAATTCATTAATGATAATTTAATTGAAAAAAATAACCTAAAATAATAACAATCTTTCTTTAGTTAGAAAACTAATTTAGAAGAATCTCTTTTGAAAGGATTCTTATTCTATTTAAAATCAACTTCCTAAAGTTTGACAAAATTGAAAAAAAATGTTTGCATTTTGTTTTTTATTGCTTCCCCTTTTTCCATCTTCATCATCATCATCTTAGATCTAATGTTGTGTGTTTTTTATAACAACAAAAAAAAAGAATGGAAAGAAATTCTAGTTCAAATTGTCACTAATAATAGATTAGAGACAAACGAAAAAATGATGATGTTGATGATAATAAATTCTTTCCATAATATGGCATTCATATTCTCAATGATAATGACGATAGTGACAACATTTTTATGATGATTTTTATGACGCCCGAATAAATCAAAAAAAATGTTAAATTTTCATACGTGGAACGTATATATTGCTGGAACAAATGATTTTTTCATTGCAAAATTTCAAAATTGTCAATTCCCTAAAGCCCATTTTTTTGCTGGTGATGATAATGATATCTGGCAATATGACAAAAAAATCTGGATTATGATGATGATAATCAACGTCATTAGGAAAACGAAACAAAATAACATCATCACTATTTTATTTATAGAATCAGACACAATCATCATCAAGTGCAAATGAAAACATTATGCATATCTTTAAATGAATGAAACAAAACAAAGCAAAAAATTCTGACGCAAAAAATAAAGTTTAATTTTTAATTTTCAATTTTTTTCTCCATATTAAAATATATTAAATTTATCGATTCTGGCAGTTCTTAACAACAATACACGCTACTAATAAAGAAATTAATTTTGGTTATTATTATTTTTTGGTTGAATTAAGTGTGAAGGAAAAAAAGAATGACAATAAAATTGAATTTGCAGTGTTTGTTTTGTTTTGTTGATTCTAAAAATCTCAACCAGTATTTTTCGTTTGAATTTTAAAATTCTGGAGAAATTTCTTTTCCAATCAATCATTGATCGATTGATCGAATTACATTGATTTTTCAATTTTAATCAATTCCAAAATACCATCTTGCATTTCTTTGACCGCTTGGTATTCAGTCAAACCCATACGACGTTTATTACTGATATCATAAACACCACCAACACTTTCGGTATGTTCACCAGCTGTACCACGTACTTGTAGATTATATTTACCGGCAATTTCTTCCAATTTTTTACGATCAGCAGCCAATTTTGGTAATTTAATATGTACCGATGCACGAATAGTGGTACCTAAATTTGTTGGACAAAATGTCAAAAAACCCAAACGATCATCTCGTGAGAATGGCAATTTCTTTTCAATATGATTAACACCCTATCAGAAAAATGATCAACAAATTAACAATGAGTTAAAACTTTGAAATTTTCACAATAATTTTTCATTAAAATTACATTAATCAATCGGCTGAACACTTGTTTCAAATCACCACCTTTTTGCATTGAAATAATACGCAAATGATCTATTGAAACGAGAAAAAAAAGAGTTTGAAAAAATCAATCAATAATCGATGAATCACATCACATCACACACACACATACCTTCTTCATTGCACCAGATCAAAAATGTTTTATTATCATTATGGAAGATACCACGACCAACAGGCCAATAACGACATGCATTTGCAGCCTGTAAAAATCGATCACCTTCTTTGAACAAAAAATGATCATCGATCAATTGTTGTTGGGTTGCTTTATCCATGCCCAACAATGGATAATAGGTTCCTTTCAATTCACCTTCAAAACTATTCAATTGACCTTTAACTTTATCTTCCATTTCTTTGTATTGCTATGAAAAATCAAAAATTAAATGTCAAAAATCAATCAAAGATCAATAATAATTTTAAAAAAAATCAAAACTAACAGCTTCAGTCAAGCAAGGATTAAATGGATAACCTTGCAATGAACGGCCACAACGAACACGTGTTGAAATGACAAATTGATTATCCGGATCAACATTACATAATGTATTGACATCACCAAAATCAGTTGGTGGATGTTTATCGGTTGGTTTAAAACCTTTATGATAATCATCAATAACCGGATCGAATAATTCTTTGAATAAAGTATAGGATTCAGCATCCGGTGCATAAAGGCCAACACCACTGTCTAAATTTTCGAAACCTAAATTTTTTCAGAAAAATGAAAAATTGAAAAAATACAATGAAAAAATGAAAGTTATTTTTAGCTTTTTTTGAATGATCGCAATGAAAAGAATCGATTGATCGATCATAATTGATCAATCGATTTTCATTCATTCATTTAGTCATTTGATTAATATTTTAGTTTTTCAAAAATTAGAAAAAAAACTTCATTCAATTTGCGTGTTTGACAATCATTATAAGTTTTTTTCTGTTTGTTTTAAATGAAATTTTAAAAAATTGTCAGTATATTGATTAATTGACCGTGAAGTTTTTTTGGTTTTAGTTTCAATTTGATTTTGAAACCCGGCTGTGTAATGATAATTAGTCTATGATAAAGGTCACCTTGATGATTTGAAAAATTGAATATCTTGGATTGTCATTTGGATTTTTAATTTTCAATTAATTTTTTTAGAGGGGAAGGCAAGGGTTAAAAACTAAATCCAAATTTAAATTGATTTTTTTTACCTGATTGTACAACATCGAGCAATGTTGCTCCCATTTGAGTTTTACGATTTTTGCATGCATCCAATACTTGTCGTGTCAGATATTTTTTCAATAATGAATGACAATCGGCTGAAGCTTGTAGCTTTTGATAGCCAGCTTCTAATTTATCGAGAACAGCTTGATCAACCATTTTTATTTTTATTTTTTGAAATTTCAGAAAATTTTCGACAACAAAAAAAATTTGACAAAATCAAAAACACTGAGAAAAAAAGCCGGTGAATATCTTATCGTCAAGATAATGAAATAACCAACATCAAACGTCTTGATCTTGGGTTTTTATATAATTTTTTTTTCTTTCTTTACTTATTTTTCATAGTGTCTAACGCATGTTCAATGACGTTTTTGTTTTTTGTTTTTGTAGACCAAATAGGCCAATATTGAATAACAAAAATCTGAATCAAATGTTAAGTTAAGGTCGTTCGGTTCGGTTCGTTTGTATACAAAAAAAAGAATATTCAATATTCTTGTGCCTCTGCCCATTCAATGTGTCTGTATATGTTTCATAATGATAAACGTGAATTGAATAAGACCACCTCAAAAGAATCTGCCTGCTTTGGATTGCCAATAATCAAAACTAACTCTATTCTCTATATACAAAAAGAATATTCTATATTCAGAATTTTGTTTTTTTGCTGACTGGTTAGCAACTGGCTGATTATACCGAATGGGGAAAAAACCAATTGTAAAATTCCGTGATGAAATGGATCTTTGATTTTTTTTGACTTTTGACTACTGAATTCCTGGATTTGATTTTGATTTGGTTGTTTTGTAATAGAAACACTAAATTCTGTCAATAATCATTCACTTTAGACGTCGTTTTTTTCTTTTTTAGTAAATTTAAATTTAAATTTTATGTAAATCCCCTAAAAAAATGTACATTTTTTTAAAGCAGAAATTGCGAAGAGAAAAAACAAATCTTTTCTTAAAAGACAAGTGTAGGTGTATGTTATAATTAGATTTTGTTTTTCACTTTCTTTCTTTCTTTCACACATGTGTAAGAGAGGTTCTTTTAGGAGGATTTTCTCGAAATTTGTTTTCAAAGAAAATTGTTTTTTTTGTTCATGTTTTGAATGAAGAGAATTTGTTGTTTTTTGGCCAAAATTTTTAATTGTTGTCGCGCGGGTCAAAACAATAAGAATTGTCAATTTTTTTTTGAAGAACGAATGATGATGATGATGACAAGACAAAACAAGGGCACATTGAAAGAATATCAAATTACAAAAATGAAATTTTTCTTTGATTCTTATGTGTTTAGCTTATCTTAGCTTTTTTCTTATTAATTTCAATAGCTTATATAATCAATATTGAATAACATTGATTTATTGGATTTCCGAAAAACAAAAAAAATTTCCTAATTCAATTTCAAATCCCACTGGATAATAACGCCATCTATATTTTGGAAAAGAAAATTATTTTTTTCAAAATTGACAATATGACATTCAAAAAGAAAATAAATTCCAATTCCTAATCTGATTTTGTTAAACTAAATTTAATATATTTATTCGTTGATGATGCTAACCAGCCAAAAAACAAAAAACCTGTTCAAGGATGATATTTTTACCTGTACATTACTTCACCTATTTTAAAGTTTCGATGAACCAGATTACAAAGCAGAAAACAAAATTGATTTTTATTTAAAAAAAAAGGGAAAAAAATTCATTTATGTTTTTCATTTACTCTTTGCGAAATCACGTTTAATGGTGATGATTGTTTCTTTCTCAGCTATATAGCTTCTGATTCAACAAATTTATTTTATTTTTTTTAGTTTTCTGTAAAATGACAAATCAAAAATCAAAAATCAAAAAAAAAACAAGTAAAAAATCGGGTAACAAAAATCCTTTTTTGTCTTTTGCTGCTGCTGAAATAAACTAAACTGTAAATGTGTTTTTCAAACATTTTTCTCTCATCCAAATGAACAACACATCAATCAATCATACATTCAACAGGCAACCGTTTTTGTTTCTCGTTTTGTTTCCGCTCATTGAATTTATGAATTTTATAAATTTTTTATGATTCAATGAAAAAATTAAATAAATCAAGAAACAAGCAAGGAAAAACATTTCGATTCAGGCATTCGGTAGGATTATAGTGCGAAAATCCGAATTCATAAATCTTTTTTTCACATAAAACAATTTTGTTTTTCGTTTTCCGAAACGAAACGAAAACTAATACAAAATAATCATTAAAAAACGAATAAGAAGAAGAAGAAGATCAAGATATGTAAATATCTTCAATGTTGCTGATCATAATCTCATTTGGGTAAAGTGAGCATCATCATCAAATGTGTTTAGTTAATTACTGTGTTCGTTTGTTTTGTTTTGCAAAAGTGTCTGTTAAGTGTGTGTTTGGCATTGGATCAATGTGAAATAAATATTATTATTAACATAAATATCAACAGTTTCAGTTTAGTTGAATTTTTTCAAAACAAACAAACCAAACAGTGTTTATATTCTTTTCAAAGTGTTTTTTTTTGTTCAAATCAAAAATCAATCAAACTGGACAAACCAAAATTTCTTGATCCAATCTTAAGATTAAAAGTAGTAGAATCACCGATAATACCGACAACAACATCGACATCGACAAATTTAAATGTATGGCCCAATCGAATCGATGAATCATATCTTCAAGCAAAAACCGAATTATCGCCACAATTATTATCGGATAAAACAAACATGATGTCAGCAACAAGAAGAAGAGCAAGTGGTAAGTTTTTCTTTATTATTTTTCAGAGGAAAATGAACAGAAAAAATCGATCAAAATTAACCCAAAAAAATTTTTAACCCTAAAAAATATCATTCGAAATACGCTTGCGTAAAAATTTTGCTCCAAATTTTTTCATGTTGCAAGAAATACATTTTCAAGGTCGATAATAAACGGTGAAAAAGTAAATAAAGTTTATGTTTATTTATTTTTATTTTTTGGTTGGTTTTTGTTTCAATGTGTTTTGTGATAATAATAAAAATGACATCTGTCAATTGATATCATGGATAAAAGAAAATGAGCCTTAAATAAGTGATTTTATCAATGGAATATTCTTTCAATGATAAATGTGCCTTGAAATTTTCATGAAATGAAATGAATGAACAACATGTCTAACAATGTTGATAATCTATTTCTTGCTAAATGTATTTGATACAATTTTGATTGTTTTTTTGGATTTTTGTAACAAACAAAATTTAATTTCTGTTTTTCTTTTCAGATTTACCAATTAATTATGCAATTGCACAGGAAGAAAATCAAGAATCACAGCAAAATCCTACGGTTAGTCGTAGTACTAGTCATTCATTATTGGCACAATTATCAAGTTCACCATATGGATGGACAACATCAGGTTCATCAAGATCAACATCACCAACACCACCAACAATGCTTTCCAATTCATCATTAAGACGTTTACCATCGAATACGGTTAGTGGTACAAATAGCCGCTATGTACCACAACAATCACTTCAATCATTAGTTAAATCATTTATCAATAAAGTATCACGTGGTACACAAACTGATTGTGATGATAATGATGATTTTGATCAATTAAGTATTGCATCATTAACATCAGGATTTTCAGCATTTGAAAATGATTTTACACGTTCTCGGTTGAAATTATTTCTAAATGATTCACAATTTAATGATAAAAGTAATAATAATATTGATGAAGCTGAATTTGTTGAAGAATTACAAAAACTTCGTGATCAAATTGATGGTCGATTTAAATTTGGTTTTGAATCACAACCAGGTTCACAATCAGTATCCCGGCAACAATCACAACCAACATCTAGACCACGTTCACCGGTAACGACAAAAATAATTGAGCCACTGGGTTTAGATCTTGAAAAATCGAAACCAGTGATCGAAACTTGTGATCAATCAATCGAAACGGATCGTTGTTGTTTTGAAGATAAATTTACACAAGCAGATTTTGGTCCATCATTATCTTCAATACAACAACAACAGCAAACACCATCATCATCATCATTTTTTTCATCGTTCTTTTCTTCGTCGGGTCAACCCGAACCAGCCGAATCATTTAATGTTGCCATACAAACTGATTTAAATCTAGAACATTTATGTCCATTATGTAAACAAGATATTCAAACATTATCAATCAATAATCGTCCACCATTAAGTGATTCTCAACAAAATCTACTTAAAAGCCAACTACTTAATCAGGTTAGATTTGATTTTCTCCAAAAGAAATTGATTGATTAATTATTTTTGTTCAATTTTTTCTTCAAAAAACAGGCTGATATGAATAATAATTCGATGGAAATGACGAAATCAATTGATCATGGAACGCAGGCTGATATGAATTCAGGTGATTTATCCATTGATGATGATAATGATCAAAAACAAACAGAAGGGTCCAATGATAATGATACAGATAAAAACGAACCACCGATAGCGGTCAAAAGAAAACCTCGAACCACTACCGCTACCACCAATGTTGTTGGTGTTGGTTCAGGTCATTTTTATCGTGGTGAATCATCGATAAAAAATAATCATAATTATGTTGATTTAAATGGAACATCACCATCATCACGTGGAAATAGTGTTGTAATCAAAAGTCCAATTCACCATCGTAGTAAAGATAATGATCATGTTCGACCAAAATGTTGTAATATTTCATAGAAGAGATATTCATTCCATGAGAAACGACAAGTGATAAAAATTAGCGATTGTGATATTCAATGAAATATTCCATTCAGAGATTTCATATTAGAACAGAATTATTATTTCAACATTATTGGGACCCTTTAGCTATTTTTTGAAACATTTTTTTTCATTTCTTTTAATAATCATTTCTTAATTTTAACAAATTTTCTTTTTTCTTTTCTTTTCTTTTTTATTTTGTTTATTTTCTCTTCTCTTCCTCCTCCCTCAAAAAAAAACTAAAATTAGAAACCACAATCATTGAAGTATTGATTCAAATCGATCAGTAAATATCGATCATCGTTTAATTGATTAATTAATTAACTATTTATCACACCCCCCACTTAGATAATGAAAAACATATTTTTTATATATACAAATAAAATGATTGGAATTCAAAATGAAAACCAATCAACAGAAGAAAAAAATTCATTCAAACAAAAAAAAATGGATACTTTTTGTGTTTGTGTGATGTGATTTTGGTGATGAATTCTTGGTTAATATATTTACACGTGTGTTGTTGTGTTTTAGTCACATTTTTTTACTAATTGTTTCGTTAAACAAATTAATTGATTTTTTGCTAATGATGATGATTCAATTGTAAATTGTAATCAAAAAAAAACTTTTGTTATTTCATGCAATCTCTATAGAGTTATATTAAATCACAGAATTTTGTTTATTTTTGGAAAAATGAAAAATTTTGAATTTCGATGTTGTTTTTTTACGTTTGTCATCAGTGAATAAAATTGAATGAGCATTGATCACAGCATTGAATATTGCGTAGTCGATATATAAAAACACACAGAAAAAAATTTAATTTTTAAACACGTGAAAAAAAACGAAAATCATCATATGAATCGGAATTATTTGCATCTGATGTTGCACATGATGATGATTGTGTATGATGTACATCAACATGATGACAGAACATATTGTTGTTGTTGCTGTTATTTGGCCTATTTAATGGTGATGCTTTAAATATTGTTGCACCAGGTAATGGTGGTGGTGGTGGTGGAAATGCAGGTGATTTGGATTGTTGTTGTTGAAAACTTTGCATATTCGGTGTTGATTGTTTGAATTGTTCATTTTTTTGAAATGGTAATGTTTCATATGTTGTTGAATCTAAATCAACAATATTACCAGCAGCTGATTCATCTTCTTCTGGTATTGGTGATTGTTGTTGTGCCCATTGTACACCTGATGGTATCATTGATGCATTTGATGATAATGGTGGTCTTGATAATAATGGTCTTCCTTTATCCGATGAACTATCTGAATAACGAAACGATAGGCTACTTTCTTCGGAAACTAAACTTTGCGTACAAGAATTATCACGTAATAATCCTGCACTTGAATTTAATGATGATGGTGTTATTGATTGATTGAATATTTTTCCATTATTATGACCATTACCGGGTGAAATATATTGAAAACGTTTACCCGGTCCAATAGCCAATGTACCATGATGTTGAACAGCGTTAACATTAGCAGCAACGGCAGCAGTAGAATTATATAATTTTATCTGTTGATTACGATCATCAATACGAATATAAACATAAGCACCAACACAAGCAATAACAATGACAACGATAGCAATGGCAATCGGAATTATAAAACTGATACGAAAATATGGAGGCACTTGTTGTTGTAATGATGGTTGATGAAAATTCGTTGATAATGTTGGTAAAAATGCAGCCGTTGGAATGGCTGCAATTGCATGATACGATTGTTGCGGTGATTGCGGCGATTCAATATTCGAATTGAGCATATTCATTAATGATGATGATCCTTCACCTTCGGTACGTATGGTTAGCTGATCACTTGGTTCTGATATTGAATTTTTATCCAAACGATTTATTGAACGTAAATACAGATGATAATTGGTACCACGTTGTAATCCATTTAGATTATAATAATAATATTGTTCATCATTATTATCATCGTTGATTAATTTTGATTTAACCAATTCTAATTCCATCCATTTAGATTTTTTATCTTCTTTATATGCGAGGATAAAATCTAATTCAGAGAAAAAATTAATTATTAAATTGTAATAAAATTATCATTTTATCAATCTTACGACTAATATCATCATCCATTGATAAATCTTTATTCCATTTAATTAGCACTGAATTTTCTTTTGTTTCAACCAATGTTAATGTTGGTTTTGGTGGTGGATCTAGAAAATAATTGAATTAATGAAATGAATGGGAAAAAACTAAAACAAAATAAAAACTTACCTTTGATTGCTGTTGAAACAAATACTTCCGGTGAACTAGGACCTTCACCAACATCGTTAAAACATTTTAAAATTATTCTATTTTTAATGAAAAAAATGGATGAAAAAAAAATTATTAAAGTCAAAAATTATCATCAACCTAACCTCACTCAACTATGAATCATAGTCATAGTCATAGTCATAGTCAAAATTATCATCAACCTAACCTCACTCAACTATGAATCATAGTCATAGTCATAGTCATAGTCATAGTCATAGTCATAGTCATAGTCAAAATTATCATCAACCTAACCTCACTCAACTATGAATCATAGTCATAGCCATAGCCAAAATTATCATCAACCTAACCTCACTTTACTATTAGCCAATAAGAAAAAAAACAAAAAAAAAATTTCAGCCAAGTCAGCAAAATGAAAAATAAACAAACAAAATCTTCAATTACAATGATTGTAATAATAATAAAAATAATAAGCCATTAAACATCATCATCATAAATTTTTCGTATTTCGCAATGAGAAGATCGTCTTTTTTGCTTTGTTTTTTTAGAACAAATCAAAAGTTAAGCGAAAAAAAACAAAACAAAAAATCCTCCCCTTTATTAATTTATTTCCAAAAGAATCAAAAAAAAATCATTTCCGTGTTTCATTGATTTTCTTGACTAGATTTTTTAGATCACTGTTCGAAAAATTCATTCCTTTTTTCGATGTTTGCGCCGAATTATAGACGAATCTATAGTGATGATATAGTGTGATATGATGAGCATGAGCTAAACTGTCAAAAATTTCCATCGTGAAAAAAAAGCATCACCCAAATCAATAGTAATAATAACAATGAAAAGAGAGAGTATGAATGATGTCAATGATGTTCATGGAGCCCAGAAATTTATTCGACCGAAATGAAAATGAAAATGCTGTTCATGTATGGCACACACACAAAAAAAAGTTTCACAACCAGAATTCTGGTCCAGAATAATTTTCTGATATGAAAAGTGATGTCATCATTGGGTGTGGATATTTTGTTCGTATTGAGTGTTTCGTGTATAGAATCGTGCGCCAAACAAACTAACAACAACAACAACAGACACCAATCAGACAAATACAACGACCCCGACACATATAACAATGGGCCAGTTCTTGCAACGGAAAGAAAATAAAAAAAATGAAATTCTAAATTCTCCAAACAAACAAATTCACTGTTAGTGTTGATGATGATGATGATGAAGATAATGAGCTTCATCTTGGCCATTATTCACCATTCACTCATTTGTATCGTTTTTTAAATATTAAAAATGTTTGTTTGCAGCAGATTTTCTTCTTTTTCTTTTGAAAGGCAATCAACACATAATGATGATGATAATGATAATAGTTTGCCTAATTTAGATTCTTTTTTTCTGGTAAATATAGCTACTTTTTTCTTCAGTCACAACAACAACAAATTGGGTCAACAAACAAATTGAATCAGGAAAAGAAAAATGTAAAAAGGAAACGACTGGAATTAAAAACTAGATAATAAAGATAGTAGGTTTCGCAGCTGTTTGTTCCTGGAACCAGAAAACCAATCTGATCAAAAATTTTTTGAAAGAATTTTCTTGACAACAACCGGGTATCGATTGATCGATTAATTTTGAGAAGAGAAAAATTTTCCAATTAATCATTGAATGTCGATAACCCAATCGAGTGATTTAGTAGAAGTGTGTGTTTGCGTGTGTTTTATCGATAATCAATAATCGAAATATTTCTTTCTGGGAAAAAAAGAAGTGTTTTGATGACAAAAAGAAATGTTTTGAGTGAAATAAAGATGACACACACACACAGAGAGAGAAATAAATAGCTTCCCGGTTTTCTACATTTTGGGCAAACTTTTAAAGTTAGTCAAAACTAAAAAAAGAAAATCTAAACATCTTATGACAATCGATGTTTCGAACAGTCAAAAAAAAGAAAATTATAATGTAAAGTAAAGTAAAAGAATTCAATTCAATTCAATTCAACTATGCAAATAACTTTCTTCCATGAGCATATGCATTTGTTTGTCAAAAAAAAAGAAAAGAAATGGAATTTTGAAATAAAAAAAGTTATAACGATACTTTTTTTTGGAAGATGTAAGAAACCAAACAAAAGAAAGAAAATTCAATTTTGAATTAAATTCAATTTTCTTTTCAATTCTCAACAACAACAACAAAAATTGAGAAAAATTGATTCAATTCAATAAATAAACTTCAAAAACTTACCCATATAATGTTCCTTTATTCAATCCGGAAAGTATATATTCTTCTTGATAATTATCATCAGCCAAACCGTTAAATTCAATTTGTTTATAAATACGTTGTTGTTGTGCGTTGTTGTTGTTGTTATTCAATGAAATATCATTGTTGTTGTTGTTATTATTAATTTGTTGTTGTTGTTGATCATCAATATTGATTAAACGATAACCAAGATAATAACCTTTTAGATGACCATTCCAATGATTTTTTGGTGGTGCTTTCCATTTAATATGTATAGCTGTTGTACCTTGTGGTTCAGCTAAAATATCAATTGGTGATGAACTTGGTGATTCTTGTTCAGTTTGAAAACGTAATAATTGTCCTGATTGTCCATGACCAAATTGATTTACAGCAATTACACGTACAGCATATAATGTTCCAGGTTGTAGATTTTTTAACATATAATTTGTTATTGTTGGTTGTAATTCAATTTCATGTAAACGAGAACCAGATGATATCATTGTCAAATTTGGCAGACGAATTTCTTTCCAATATTGTAGCAGATATTGTGTTAATGGTAAATTACCAATTGATTCAGGTGTTGACCAACTTATGGATGCTTCACTTGTCCATATTTGATCTAATTGTAATTGACGAACCTGACCAGGTACATCTTGTACAAATAAATTTATTCGTCGTATATCTTCACCATAATCATTCCATATACGACAACCATATTGACCATTATCCATTGAATCAACTGAATTTATATGTAATTCAAATAATGTTCGGTTATTATTAACATAAGGTATTGATTTCATTGATTCTTTATTATTATTGATTTGTGGAGAATTGAATTCCCATTGTTCAAAATATGTTGAATCAAAATTTTTTTCCAATGCAGTATAACGTGGAAATGAATTAACAAAATCCGGAACATAGTCCAAATCTAATCGTTTAAATTCACCAGTTATTGATTGTTGTTTTAGCCATTCAATTTGTAATGGTCGTGCACCAAATGCTTCACAAATTAATTTTGCAGTTTCACCACGTTTTACTTCAATTTGATCGGTTTTTATTTTGAAATATGCTGGAACTGAAATTTATTTTGATCATAAAAAAAAGAAACCTAAATGCCTGAACTTTTTTGTTTTTGTTTTTGAAATAATTACCATTAACAGTTATAGTAAATTGATGACTTATTGTCAAACGATTATGTGGATTTTCAGCCATACATTCATATATGCCAGCATCTTCAATACGAATATCTGTTAAATGTAATTGTTCACCACTGGATATTTGTTCACGTCTAGCATCTTTATCAAAAAAAAGGGTTTAAAATCAAAATTTCAAAAAACATTGAAAATGAATGAAATTTTACCTGGAATGGCCATATTATTAGACAGTACGGATGATCCAACGTTATCGAATAATAAACGATTCCATTTAATTATCGGTTTCAGATGTCCTTGCATCATTGATGATGATGATGATGATGATATTGTAGCACGACATTTTAGCAATATTGATTTTTTTAAACCAATCGTTATATCCGAAGGTTTTTCTAGAAAACTTGGTGGTTCTATATTTTCAACAACAAAAAAAAATGATAATTTTTTCAGAAACAATTAATTAAAAAAAGATACAATTTCAAAAAAAATTGCTACATTTTTAAATTGCTACATAAAATATATTGCTACTACTACGTGTAGAATACGTAAAAAGTAAATAATTTTTTTTTTTGTAATTTTCAATTCCGAATCCTATTTGTAATGTTTTTGTAAATAAATAAAGTTGAACAAACGAAAAATCAATGTAGCATGAATTGAAAACCCTCCTGCTGCAAAAAAAAACCTGAACTTATATTTTAGTATAACAAAAAAATGCTCGTTTCTCGTAATGATATCGCGCGTAAACGACATTTTTCGTGAATGAATAAATGATGATCGTTGATCGTCGTTTGTTGACATACGTGCAGCAGTGTAAAACAAATGATCTCATATAATATTCAACAAGGATGATCATAATGATGATGATGACAATGAAATTTTCGTTTTTCTTCATTCATGCATCCTGTGTCTAGTAATAATTTATTAATATGAAAAAAAACAATTTCCGTTTTCAACATCTAAGACAGATATGTTTGGGATACGTTTGAATTGAAATTTCATAATCATTATGGCGGGCGTTGTTCTTAATTATTCTAATTGAATTCGAATCAATTTTTTTCCAACTAGTTCGCTTGACAATCATAATTAATTTATTAATAAGAATGGCAAAAAAACTAACTCGTCCAGGTCGATGAATTCAATAACAACATTCTTTCGAGTGTGTGTTGCCAAGGTTTTTTTGTTTGTTCGAACGCAAAACTAACCTAATTAACCTAAATTTCATTATAGAAACAACATGAAAATTATCTCAACATGTTTGTTGTTCTTTCCTGAACAAAGATTTTTGTAACATGTTTTTTTTTGTTTCGTTTTGTTTTTGGCAACTAAATTACGAAACAAGAATTCAGTTCATAAATCACAATTGTTACCTCGTTCCAGAGAGAATAACAACAACAAAAAAAAAACATTGAGCGAAATCGTTTGGTTAATCAATTATGGTAACATGTCAATTGCAACATGATTTTTTTTTGTTTCTTTCTTTTGCCATTAATTTCTCTGCTAATAGAAAGAAGAATTTGTTTGAAATAATAAGAATTTTCAATTATCAATATCCTAACCTAAACAAAAGCCAAAACAATGTTACAACCACCACCACTTAAACCAAAAGTTGAAAGGTCATGTTTTTTTTTGGATGGATTAAACAAACGTATGGCACACGACTAAATATCAATCAAATCAAATATTAGAATATACACTTGAAGACAGGCAATAAAAACAGAAAAAAATATCAATTTCAATTTTCATTTGTTTATGATTGACTGCTGTTCTTTTTAAAACAAAAACAAAACAAAAAAAACCACCAGAATCGTAATACCAGTAGTAAAGTAAAATTACAACAGCTGTCTAAACAAATTCTTTTAAGCTTAATTTCTGTTCAAATCATTTTATAGCCTAAATTTTGATGAAATACCATATGTGTGTGTGTGTATGTGTGAAAAAAATTGATACCAGAGAGGATTATTATTGATTATTGATTATTGGAAAAACTCACACTCACAGAGAAAAAAATCCTTGTCCATAGGGAATACTTGAAATTTAGAAATTTTGTAAAAAATGATAATTTAGGTCGAAGAAAATCAAAAGAAGATATTTCTGCCAACATAGAAAACCAAAAAAAAGTTTTATAATTTTTTCTGCTTTTGTCACAACATTTGCATTTATAATCATCATTTGGATAATGATCTTTGCTTGCATGTTGTGTTTGCAAGCCAATATTGTCACTGATTCTCTCTTTCTTTTTTTATGTGATTCTAAAATTAGAATTCTAGTCATACAAAAAACAAAATACACATGTATAATTTCATTCGGTAGCATCATCATTCGAAAATTTGTAATTGGGAAAAAATTGAGATTTTTTAGAAAAAAAAACAAACCTTGTACAATCAATAATGAACTATATTGATCAGAACCATAACTATTTGATACTAGGCAAGTATAATTTCCCGAATCACGTTGTCGATCAATACGATAAATAGCTAATGATGAATAATCAGAAAATGTTTGTATATCAATTGAATTGGTTAATGTTGTTGATGGTAATGATGATGATGTATAATATGGTAATGAAGAAGAAGAATGTTGTATCGATGTTGTCGATGATAATGGTTGTCCATTTTTTAACCATTGAAATGATAATGGTTGACTACCATCAATTAATTGACAAAATACACGTACAGTTTGTCCATCCAATATATTTGATTCAAAATTGAATGATTTTAATCTTGGTTTAGTACCAATACCTATTGATTGTTGTTGATTATCGAGTGGATATGGAATGGCTATAGAAAGAATTTCAATCAAAATGATTAGTTTTTAAAAACAAACAGAAAAAAAGGATTACCATTTAAAAATGAAGAAAATGATAGTAGAAAACAAAACCAGATGAAAACGTTGTTGGCAAACATTTTTTAAAAATATTTTCACTGACTAAAATTGATCACCGTTTTAAAGAAAATCAGAAACTAATGAAAAATCATTCAACTAATGGATGATGATGGTCAAACAAACAAAAAAAATTTTTCATTATCGAATTGAAATTTCACAAGCAAAAACAAAACAGAACACACAGTGAAGATTTTAATGTTTTCAAGTACGAACACAAAGAAAATTATAATTGACTCTATCAATACGATTGATGATAATTATGATTATCATCATTCCTTATTGATGTTTGATTATTGTTGTTGAAAATTTGATATGATAGGCAGTGAAGATAAAGATGTTGTTGAAGTTGACAAAAATCGATTGAAACTTGAACGTCAAATTTATTTTTTGGTTGAAGAAGAACTGGATCAATAAATGATGATGAAATACACACGACCATCGCCCCTTTTTTTATTATTAATCATCAATCGATCACCACAAACAGAAAAAAAAAATCAATCAATCAATAAATTACTTGAAAAAAAATAAATCGATATTAATGATGATTTCTTTAACATCATCATCATTAGTATTAATCATCAACGACACTGGTTATTGTCATCATTATTATCATTATTGAAGAAGAAAAAAAAACAACAAGAACAGAAAAATACAACAAGAACTCAACATTTCTTTCGTCGACAAAGAAGAACAGATGTTATTTTTTTGTTGACTGACCGATCCAGATCCAGAAAAAAAATGCACTGAGTACATGGGGACACCAAACACAATGTTGTTGTTGTCAGTCTGTTAGTTAATCAAAATCTTGGTTCATACAAGGCCAGCACTATCATTCTTTGTTTGTTTGTTTGTTTGGCTTGTTTTTAGAGTGATGGTGTTGACCAAAAAAAACCAAATTAAAATACTAGCTAATTACACACCTGGCTAGCAATAAAAAAACTTTATTTCATATGGGGCTCGTATATTCTCAACGTGTGTTTGTGTATTTGATTCAGACTGTTCCATTTGGAACGATAACAAACCCAAAAACAACAACAAAAATGAATGAATTTTTTTTTTAAATAAAACCAGAACCGATGAATGATCATTACACAACTGAATAGCCAAATGAATGACAATTTCACTATGTAGACACACACAATTGCTTGGCTGTTTTCTTTTCTTGAATTTTTTTTGATCATCATATATAGCGAATTGATGGTAGGATACAAACTAATGATGCTTTGTCCGTGTGTGTGTGTGTGTGTTTCGCAAGCGCATTCAACTTTTTTTTTTGATGATTTCGGGGTTGTTACCACCACCACCAACACCACCAACCAAATAAGAATGACAACATGATATATATCGATCGATCGACAGAATTATGGATGGTAGTGGTTAAAGATCTAGGTCCAGAAAAAAGCCCATTCATTTAGTGGAATTGCAAGTTTTTTCCCCATTATTTCGATTTCATCCAAAAAATGCGCAAGCGCACTATTAATTTTGAAATTTGAAATTTTCTTCTTTTGCAAAAACATCCCTTATCATCATCATCATCATCGTCTTGGAATTTATCGACCAAAAAAAAGGGCGATGTTTTTTTCTGTTTGTTGATAGGTGTTGTTTTCCGGTGTTTTTTAAACACCGGATATATTTGCGCCGAATCTTCAAGATTTGATGCAAAGCAAATCAATAAATTCCTTGGGAATATAATCCTTTTCAATACGAAAAAGCTTTGAAACAAAAACAACAACAAAAAAATTGATTCGAAAAATCGCGATTGCATTCAAACATTGATTTGATGACTCATTTTCATCATCCGTTATATGTCTGTTCACTTCAAACGCTGAAAATTCTTGTTTTTTCGATTGTTGTGTAATAGAAAAAAAGGGTTATGATTTTTTTTTTTTTGTTGAAATAATTATCTGTTTTAAACGCCATCTTTTGTTAATGTTTGCAAACAAAAAATGATAATTTTTTTTTAAATTATTGGATAAGCAATTTCAGTATTAACACCACATATATTTTGTCTACGTGCTAAACGAAAATATCCCCGTTCACCCCATGATCGTCCCCAGGTATTTTTTAAAATCCATGCATCAGGTGTATAACCAACCAATACTACAGCATGATTAATTTGTTTTGGACATGATCGATCATCAACAATACCACCACGATAATTTCTTGATAATCGATCAGCATTTACACCAATGTATAATGGACCAAATGTAACCAGGGCATTTTGTATATCATCATCGTTAAGATTTTCGATTCTAGATCCAGTCGAATAACGTAATTTACTTCGTACACAATAATTACGAATATCAACAACTGATGATGGTAAACGACGACATGATGATGATCTAGCACGATAAGGCATCATTTGTTCGGATGTTAATCCATAACGTCGAACAAAATCAAATGCCATTGATGATGTTCCACCTTGACAACCATTTGGTTTTGCACAACTAACCAATTCTTGTTCACTAAGATCAATTGAATTGTTTCGATTGTTAATCAGATAAGCTGATTCAATCGAAGCAGCCGTTGCAAATGCCCAACAACTACCACATGAACCTTGATTTTTTACAGGGGTAACAACATTTCTATCACGCCAATCAAAATTTTCGGGTAAATTTCTTGATTTACGTAAACATTCTCGATATGAATCATCCATTGTTGATGATGATGATGATGATGGTCTACGATTATGATAATAAGATGAACCAAGTCCATTCATTCTTCTCATATAATTTCCATCCTATTCATTTTATTAAAGCAAAACAAAAAATCAATTAAACAATCAATCAATCAATCGATTACCTTATCGGAAAGTTCTGTAAAACCAAATTTTAATTGTGGATTTGTTTCTGGGAAATTTTCCATTTGTAAACATCGGAAAATTATTTCCTGTGTTGATGATAGTAATGACCAGATTGAATTTGGTGTTAAATCATTATCAGGAAATGCTTGATAGAAAAATTTTACAATATCATTAAATTGACGATTTTTATCGAAAATATTGATAAATGTTGATCGATTTTGATCATCGATAACTTCAAATGCATAACAATTGGTTAGATTTTCTAATGGTCGTGAAAAATCTTGATCACTTGATGCAATTAAATCACCAAGTGTACGATTTAATTGCATCAATTCTAAAACCATATCAATTTGTTGCCATAATTGTTCGATTGATAATTCTTGACGTGGTTCAATAACGATTGGTTCACCTGTTAAAGAATTTGTCACAAAAATTAATGAAAAACAAAAAAGAATAAGAATAATTTTCATAATTTTGCTGATTTGGTTTTCTTTTCATTTGTTCAACGAAATGAAAAAAATGAAAAAATCTAACCTGAAACTTTTATACAATTTTTAACCAAAAAATTTCATGACAGGTGTATTTTGATTCTTGTCAAACTGATTTCCCACATGTTTTTTCTGAACAAAATGACAATATTCTGATGGCTCAGATGTGTTTTGAATTAAAAAAAAACAAAAATTGTTAATTACATTAAAAATTTGATTTTTTTCTTTTCTCGAATTAAATTTGCTTTTTAAAATGTTTTTTTTTCGGATCATTTTTTTTTGTTGTACAAAACTTCATCATAAAATATGAAAGAATTTTATTGTGAATTTCAAAATAGATCAGGTTTGTTGACAGAAAATAGAAATTTTTTCACCATATCACCAAAATTCTTTTTCTTTTTCTACTGAATCTATAGAATCGTTGACAGTATTGATTGTATTAGCAATACTCATTATATTCAATATAATCATTTTCATTATCGAACCATATATATGTGATTTTTTTATCAATCATTTTGGCCGATATAATAATCGATTTGATACAATTTTGGCTGATAATTTTGGTTAAAAAAATCTTCAAACAAGTTGAAATTTTGGCCGACAGATGGAGAACTGTCCTTTTGAATTTATTTCAAATGAAAATTTTGTTTTTCTTTTTTTTCAATGTTTTTTTCTTGTTTTTCTAATGAGAAAAAAAAATGAATAAATAAATTTTGCCAAACACCAGCAACAATGAATTGAATCCTTGATTCCTTGGAAAATGATTTGAAAAAAAATCATTATAAACAAAAAACAAAGTGAAAAAAAACCGTCCAAAAGCATCCCGAAAGTAAATGAAAGAAAAACAATCTTTTTTTTTCACCCATCAAACAACTCAGTCGTATATAATGATAATAATGCAAAATATTTATTATTCGATCACAGAATCTCTCTTGAGATTTGTTTCGTTTTTCGTCGCTTTCGTCGTTTTTCGTTTTTGTTTTGTTTTTGCAGTTGTTGAAAATGAAAATTGATCTAGATTCATTCGTTGTTTTCGGGGCTCATTTGTTTGTTTTTTATTTGTTGTCAGCCGAATCGAACCGAAACGAAAATGAAAATGAAAAAAAGCTAAATTACATGATGATGATTATCATATATGGGTAAACTACTGGCTGAAAGAAAGAAAAAGATAAACAGAAGAACCAACCAAAACAGAAGAAGAAGAAGAAAAACGGAAGTGATTGATGAAGTGAATTAACGTAGAATATATAAACAACAACAGAATATTCTTTGCTTAAAATGAATTTTGAAATTCTATTTAAGCAAGAATACTTTGTTATCTATTCGCTATATCCCAAAAAATGTTGTTGTGACATTCAATTATCCTATTCTTTACATAAGATTCTTATGAAAAAAAAATAAAATAATCAATGGGAGAAAAAAACCTGACAATGTTTCAATGTTGGTGGATAATGTGTGTGTGTTCTCTCTTTCATCGAAAAAATCCTCTTACGGAAAAAACATTCATTCATTCATCATAATCATCATCATTATTCATCAATGGGGGTAATGAAAAAAAATGATTGATAATGTTTTCATCTTCAAGATGATGACAGGCACATACACAAACACACACCACCGCCATTACCATTATCATCATCGGAAATGCAAAAAAAAATGAATAATTTCAACAACAAAAACAGCGAAAGAAAATGTAAATTTTTTAAGTAAAATTTTGTTTTTTGTTTCTGTTTTGTTGTCAAAATATAAATATTTCATTTGTTTTGTTTTGTTTTAAGAAAAAAACAAAAGACATATGTATTATATATGACAATGTTGACTTGATTGTCGACTTTTTTTTCAATGTTTTTTATTTTACCGTTGTTGTTGTTGTTGTTGGAATACCTTTTACATTGAATGAATAATGTGGTTGTCTTAGGTTAAATAACAACAATATTGAAAAAAACAAAACAAAACAGCAAAATAACAAAATAATCAAATTACAATTGGTAGGATGAAGAATATAATGATATTAGATGCCTTTTGGCAATGTTTTTATCAATAGTAATTTTTCTAATTTCTTTAATCATCATTGTTCTTATCGATTATATTCAACTTTGATGATTAAATTTTTTTCCCATTTTAAAATCGACCACGAAACTTTATTTGCAAAAATCAATATAATGAAAGCGAAACCAAAAATGAAATTTCCAAAGTGTTAAACCTGAAAACAAAAATATCATCCATTAATAATGATGATGATGATGATTATTTTGGATAAAATTTTGAAAAAATTATGTGTGGGGGTGGATGAGCGGGGAGGTTTTATGAGTGGCCGGGGTGGAATGGGGTAATGAAAGGAGGGGACTTGAGATCGGATGAATTTGTTAAATTCTTTTTGTTTTTGTTTGTCATTAATTTAATGAGCTTCTGGCGTTCATCACCGTCATCATCATCATCATCATATAACCAACCAAGCTAACCCAAATAAACACAGACAAACACTGAAACACTTTTTCTTCAATCAACTTTTATTTTTATTTTTCGAAAGAAAAGCTCTTTATTTTTATTTTTATTTTATTATCATCATCATCATCAAGTTAATAAAAACGTAAATGCATTATACGTGTAAATAATTTGTTTTTCTTTTCTCTTGCTGTTTTCTCCGGGAGCCATTCATACAGAATATTCTATCGATTGTGAAATGTTTATCATCATCATCATCAGTAGCCTTTTTTTTCTTCACATAGATACACTGAAGTGTTTATGCAATGTTTTTGTTTTGGGCATCCATTCATTGTTTCTTTCATTTGAAGAATGACACATTATTCAATTTTTTCTTTTGGAAAGAAAATATGATGAAAAATTGTGTACACACTTTCGTCAACTAATGAAAAGATGCTAAAAGTCTTAAACAGAAAGAGAGAGAAAGATCCATTTATGTTGTTGTTGAGACAATTTGTTTTTGTTTATTTTCAAAAATAGATACCAAACTTTTAAATTAATCATACGAAAAATTTAGGTTTTTTTTTGGTCCCATGAAAAAATGATGATCAAGACTTTCAAATATGATGATGATAAAGTTTATTGATTCTATTCCTGGTCTTTTATCATCATCATTATTAAAAGCTACAAATAAAACTTTTCTTTCGTTTAAGTATGGTTGACCAGTCAAAGTTAAGTAGTAAAGAGAAAAAAAAAAGTTAAACTTGACAAAAAAATTTTTGATCACATTTTAATCAACTTATTCAATGAATATTTTGATGGACGTCTGGACAGAAAATAAAATTCTGGTCTTTTTCAATGAATTTTATGACCATATTCTGGTTCTGTTTTATCCCCAAAAAGAAGAAGAAAAATTCTATCTATTTTTGAAATGACTGCAAAAAAAATTTAATGAAGTAGAAAATAACAAAGTAGAAAAAGTGAAAAAAAAACATTCAGATGTTCAAACATTCAGTTTTTCAGCAACAACGAAAAAAAAACCCATTTACAAGCGAAAAAAAGCTCTTGAATTATGATGTTTTTGTTCAAAAAAATGAAATGAAAAAGATATTAAGATGTCATCATCATCCTCAACAACATTATCGATCAAGTCGAATTTGTGAAACCACCATTATGATGATGATGATAACAATTTTTTTGTTCACTTTAATAATATCGATTTTTTTTCTGTTTTCAAATAATAATCAATCTTCAATCAATGAAAAACAAACTGAAAACTATTATCGATAGTATCGATAGTATCGATATTCAATTTAATTATTATTAATTGAATTTTGGCATCATTTTTTTAGAAAAAAACTAATTAGAATGAAATTACGCATCTCTCGATGAACAAAATAAGAAAAACGATTTACATTCTCGAAAGATTATTTTAGACAAAATTCTTGAGAATTTTTTTCTCTTGCTTCTTCATTAATTTCATTGAATTCAATGAAATTACTTTTTTTTTCATTTTGTTTGTTTGTAAATCGATTTTCGTTTTGTTAAATTCAATATATAAAAAAAACCGTTGAAAATTCAATAACTAATTCTATTTAATGATGACAGAACAAAGTTTTGCTTGTTAATTTTTTTCTTTTTCACTGTTTTTTATATTCAAACAAACAAACAAAAAAAAAGAAATAAAAAGCAATTATCGATTCCAACAACAACAACATATGTAACAACAACAAAAGTGAGATAATTATATTTTGCTTGTTATTCGAGAATTTTTCTTTGTTAATTTGTTTGTTTGTTTTTGTTCATTGATTCATTTCTAAATCAAATACAGAAGAAGGTATTTGAAAGCGATAATGACAAAAAAACAATGAATGTTTTGTCGCATTTATATTACGTTATTACGTTACGTCAATCTAATTTGTCAATTATAATTTTTCTGTTTTTTTCCATTAAAAGTTTTTTTTCTGTTTTTTCATCAATCGAAACTTTTCAAACTGATGAAATTCGCTAAACCATAACCGATAATGATTTTTGTGAATTTTTTTTACACGCACACATCTCTCTCTCTCTCTCTCTCTCTCTCTCTCTCTTGCATAATTGATGAATTTAGAATCAGAATCATTCCGAACTAGAATATATTTTAGATGAAAAAATATGAAATGAGAAAAAATAAAAAACAAAAATCTACTCGTTATTATTATTATTATTATTATTATTGCTCAAATGATGTTCATTCAAGAAATTTATTCCATTCAATTTGACTTTTTCATTCATTCATTCATTCAGTTATTTATTTATTCATGAATATTCTTCAAGAATAATCTAGTCTACATCCAAACAAACACACACATTCATATTTATATTCAAGATTGTTCACGCATCGCAAATTTTTTTCATCCTTCACTGGTATCATTATCATTATCATTATTATGATCATTTGAATTTTACTTGAAAAAAGGGTTTTTAATATTAATAAGTTTTTTTTTGCTTGATTTTGGTTTTCGTTTGTTGTTGTTGTTGTTGTTTATATTCATTAAATGATAATTTCCAATTTCCGAAAAAAACACTTTAAAAAAAATCTACAAAGTTAAAG